ACCTTGAATCGTAGCCCCTGGGTTTTATTGCACATACGCGTTGATTTTAAGCGGTCGACAATAGCCATAATCCTTTTAGTAATCAATACATATGAAGAAAAAGATGACTCCAAAGATAAGAGGTTTTCTGCTCGTCAAGGAGACCAGCAAACCTTACATGCACAGTTTGCTCATACCTGCAAGCATTGCAACTTGTCGATCGCTTTGGTCAAGTTTTCTTTTCTCCAGTGGTTGTTGCATTAGCCAGTGCTCAAGCTGCTCTCTCTTCTCGATTTCCTCGGCATCCATGCGAGTTTCGGAACGATAGCGATAAGTGAGACTTCGCTCATATCTCGTACTGGATGACCGTCTAAAACTAGCCGTGCATTTGCTTTGATTTGTATCGCTTTACTTAGAAAGATACTTCAAAGCATTTTAGGAGAAAATTATGAGACGCAGTTTTTCATTATCATATCGACTGAAATATTACTTCACTCACTGAAACCTTTCATTGATTTTGAAGACGACGTTGTAACTTTTTATGGTCGCAAGGGATTTTCACGCTCATTTCATTTGGCAAAAAAGGTATGCGCTTACGAAACTGCTCGATAGAACATGAAAAGATTGAATTCATGAAAGATTGGGTTGTCAAATGAGGCCAATCATTCTCCATTCTCTATAATTTCTTCAAATGAAGTAAGATTGTCGGTGCTTATTGGAAAAGGTCAAATTATTGGAAAACACTGCAACGCAGTCGACACTGTCAACATCATCTCTTGCACCGTAATATGTTTAGGAAAAGCATAATCTTTTTTTGAATAGCCATCAACCCTGATAAGCGATAATGAAACTGTTGCATAAGCAGGACAAATTCGTGCGTACCTCACACACTCGAAATATGACAGGTTAAACATAAACCTTTCCAAAGATATTATTCATATTGCAACAATTTTCGGACCCAATTATGTGTCGTCAATGCTAGGAGTTAAAATTTACATGTTGTGGGAAATCTCTGCTGGATACATGTATGGATGAGTAACATAGGCGTTGCCTTTTTGAAAGCCAATTTGTTATAATAAGAATCCTCAAGCTACATATGTTTGGTATTGAAGAAATGAAAGCGAGTAAAAGTCATTGCCAAAATCTTAGGGACTATCCTGGGTAAAAAAAACGAAATAGGAATGGGTCGTGCGAGTGGCCGAGTGAGAGTCAAAATGTCCATAGCATTAGGAATATTGTCCATAAGTGCCCTTACATATTAGCGATTATAGCGGATTGTGATCAATCATAATTCAAAACACGAGAATCGTTTTGGGGTCTCCTCAGTATGATTTTCCACCT